TAAAATTAATTCCAGTAACTTCTGTAGATTATTTAATAATTCTTTGTAGATCATCTTTTCAATAGTGAATTTTTAGCCGGTAACATTGGTAATATTTTATCAAATTTTTATAATACAAGTAATTTTATAATGTCTGAAATGTGTGTCAGGTTGGTGGCGCAGCAGTTATTTGTCACCAATGTCACACACACTACACTTTCACTTTTTATAAGTATTTCAGACTTAGTTTATTTAGAGTTAGGAAAAACCTATTCCCCCAATATATCACATGTGTGGCGTTATTATATAAATGCGCCACCAACCTGACACACATTTCAGACTGCGCCACACGGTCATCTGACCTACTGTTTATAACGCGCATTTAAATAATTATTATTTTTTACACGATAATTGTTTGATTGATTTCGAAGAGTATAACAATAATGACTTCTCATAGTGAATTCACCCAAACAAATGTGTTTGCCTCTGAAGTTCTGTTATTTGGTGACTTTTGTCGTTTCTTAGAAGTAGTTTCTAAAGAAAATGGCGATGCGAAAAAAAAAAAGTGTGCAAAATTCATTCAGGTGAGACGTTATTTTTATATACCTTTTGCGAATCTTGGTTAACTTTGGTATTTCGGTATATTATACTCATTTTTTATTTATTTTTTGATAATAGAATTATCGAAATAGATATGGAAATGATTTTTATTCTGTTATGCGTTTACTACTTCCACATGTAATTTTTTTAAATTATATCAACTTATGCTCGTTGATAGTCAAAATTCAAATTGAATTAAATTTGAATTAAATTGAAAACCTTAGCTTGATAAAGAAAGGACGAATTATGGTATGAAAGAGGTAGTTCTTGCCAAAACTTACATATCTGTAATGGGGTTGGCAAGAGATTCTATTTATGCTCAAAGGTTAATTCACTGGAAAATGCCTGGAAGTTCGAAAAATGTATGATAAAGCCATTAGTAATCTTTGATGAATTTAATGTTATAAGATCTTATTATTAACTCCATATGAACGCATGTAATTAGAAAACTGCTGGCGATTTTGCGTCAGTAGCATTTGAGGTAATTGCTCCTCGTTCTACTGTTGTTGGTCGTGGAAAGATGACTATTGAGGATGTAAATTATCAGCTTGATGTTTTAAATGCTGCTAGCGGACAGTATGTTATAATTTCATTTTTCATTTTGTAGCAATAATAGTTTTGTTTGATTGCATTTATTTATATATATATGAAATTCATTATTAAATGATTTTAAATGAAGGCAAGAATTTCAAAAAGTAATTCGACACCTCTTTAATAATTATACTGCAATAGAACAGAAATGGATTATTAGAATAATTTTGAAAGGTACTACTTTCAATATCAAAAGCATTTTTTACTTTAATGAAAATCAGATTTTTTTTTAATAATTAAAATAATAATTATTAGAGCTTAAGATTGGGTTGAGCGAAAAATCAGTATTTCTTTTATTTCATCCCGATGCTTGTAATCTTTTCAACGTTTGTAGTGATTTGAGAAAAGTTTGTGAAGATTTACAAGATCCTCACACCAGACTTCCGTCATCCGTATGCATTTACAAAGCTATTTTTAATCATTGTCGGAATTTTTAAACGTACTAACTTTATTAATTGTAGGATATTATTCTCTTTTATCCATTCAAACCTATGCTTGCAAAACCAGTTGCTGTTCAGAATGTTATTAAAACAATGGGTGGTAGCTTTTGGATAGAAGAGAAACTTGACGGTGAAAGAGTACAATTGCATATGAAAGATGGAAGATTTGAGTATTATTCAAGGTAGGTCATAAAAAGATGGTAAACCGAAGGTTGAATGATTTACTTATTTCAAATGATTGGTATCGGTTATTAGGAGAGCAACGCAGTATACTTATTTGTATGGTTCTAATAAATCTGAAGGTTCATTAACGCCACATATAGCCGACTTGTTTCATCCACGTGTTAAAGAGTAAGTAATGATAATTTGCTTCTAGTTATGTTACAAAATTTTCAATTACCCTTTCACAATTTTTCCTAGAATTATTCTGGATGGAGAAATGATAGAATATGATCCTTTAATGGATGTCTATAAACCATTCGGAACTTTGAAAACAGCCGGGAAAGGTATTGGAAATGATATTTTCCTCACCTTTTTACTTGGTGAATTAACTTCTTATATTAATTCATTCTATTTTATTTAATAAGATCACTCGGACAATCCAAATAAGGAAAGACCCTGCTGTATGCTTTTTCTATTTAAATTCCGATCATTAGAGCTTTAATATTATGATTAACGAACCAATAGTTATATTAAATAGATATAATATTTGATGTTGTCCTAATAAATGGCAAGTCGATAATTGATCAACCATTACAGAAAAGAAAAGATTGGCTTAGAACGTTGATTACAGAAAATCCTGGATACTTGAAGATTATTAATCATAAAGAATGCAGCACGGTTAAAGATTTGATTGATGCGTTAGATGAAGCCGTTATGAAAAGGTTAGTATCATTCAAATTGATAAATTTTGATTTTATTAACTTTTATAAAAATCTATTAAATTATGTAGGCAAGAAGGGATTATCATAAAAAAACCTTCCAGCAAATATGTTCTTAATGAAAGGATTGATGACTGGATTAAGATAAAACCCGAGTATTTGGACGCACTTGGTGATAGTTTAGATTTATTAATTATTGGTAAGTTTCTAGGTATTCTACAATATATATATGGACTCCCGGAGTACATTAACAAAAATCTTAATGTTTAGGTGCGGATTTTGGCTCTGGAAAACGTGGAAATATGTTTGGCAGTTTCATGTGCGGTCTAAGAGATTCAACATCTTCAGATGATAGTCCTAGGTTTTTATTATCATTATGAATGTAGCGTTTCTTGATTATATGTATATGTATACTAAATTGTACTTTTTTTTACCTTTTACTATAAGATTTATATCATTTTGTCGATTTGGTACTGGCCAGACAATGAAAGAAGCTGAAGATATTAAGTAAATTAAAGAGTTAATGTTTTATATGATATTATATGAGTACTAAAACAATATATTAATTTCAGGAATAAGTTAGAGGGTTGGCAAAAGTTTGAACCAAATAACCTTCCAAATTGGCTTGAAGTTGGTAAAGACAAACCTCATATGATAATTCCCCCGTGGAAGTTAATATCTGCATTTATTGTTTTCGATGAAAATTTATTGAAATTTTAAAATAAAGTTACCAAGTTGTCTTTTTTTTATAGTTCAATAGTCGTGCAGGTAAAGGCATCTGAAATTGTTGCCGGAAGTAAGAAGTTTTATTTGGATAATCATATAATTTCTTAATATTAAAAAGTATCATGGAACTAATTATTCTAATGTAAATCATTAGATCAATTTGCTGCTAATTATACACTTAGATTTCCTCGATTTGAAAAACTTCGTGATGATAAAGATTGGACAAGTGCTATGACTTATGAAGGTTACTATTCTTTGTTTGTTAACTATTTCATTAATCTATGTTTGATAAAAATTATCAATTTTACATTATAATTTAATTTCTGAAGAAATGATGAATCTTCGCAGACAAGCATCAGGACGATTGCAGTCCAAGAAAGTCACCGAAGATGATTTAATGTAAGTTCGTTCAATCTATCAAATGTTGTTATAAATAAGTTATTAATAACTCAGATATTAATATTTAATTTGGTGACAGTACGATTGCGAGAGCTGTCAAGAGAAAAGGAAAGACTACAACGCCTCGCAGAGTAAGACCGTTCAGGTTTACATTTAAATATGAAATGTTTTAGATTCTATCTTTTATTTATCAATTCTTATTTTAGGTCAAGAAATATACTATGCTTGAAACCTTTACATCTAATATAGGGCAGGTGGAAGAAAAGTCTATGATATTTAAAGATATGAAATTTCGTAAGAAATCTACTTATTCGTCCTATGTTTGGGCATTGTTACATATGGACTAATAAAATAATTTGGTATTTCGGACAGACATAATGTTAACAAAATATAAAGAAAATACAAAAGCAGATTTTGAGCGTATGATAAAAGAACATGGTGGAAGTTATTCTCAACATCCTGGTAATGATTCTGAAATTCGCCTAATAGCCGAGGACGCATCCAGTATGTTTGATATATTAATCATTGCAAAGTTCAATGTTTGCAATTCTTGGATATTCTGTGATTATATTTTATTAACGATAACTTTCAAAATATCATAATAGATTTTCGCGTCAAAAATCTAATCAATCAGGGCGTGAGAGATATAATTCATCCTCGATGGATCTTGGAATGTATTAACGCTTTCAAACTAATTCCCTTAAGTCCAAAGTTTGTGATTTGTTTTAGGGTCATTATATTGAGAAAAATAATGCTTTTTAAATTTTTTCTTTTTTACGCAAACAAACTTCTATTATTTTACAGATATATGGTATTTATTACAGAATCAACAAAACATGAATTTTTAACGAGAATGGATGAATGGGGAGATAGTTACGCAGATGAAATTACCACGGAAGAATTGCAAGAAGTATGTAAAATATATTATAGTATGTCACTTGCAGTAGAAAAAAAAACAAAACAAAAAAAAAAATAAGTTTTACTTGATATGCTAAATATGATTATTTTTTTAATAAAATAAATTCAGAACTCAAAAATATTTTTTTCCCTTTCTACAGCAAAGTGTCCATATTAATATTTTTTTTTTTGGTGATAACCTATCGTTTTTACTATTTTAGACTTTTGATTTAATGCCCTTGGATGAAAAAAATCTCATTTCGAATCCTCAAAAACGTCGTAAATTAGCTGACGAAATTGAGGAACGTTATTTTGCTGATACTGGATTACCAAACTGTCTGTTTCGTCGTTGTGTGGTTTATATTGATTATCCACCTCCTAGAGAACATGTACAAGATATGAACAAATTATGGGCTTTATATGAAGGATGTCGTGATCGGTTGGTTGATTTTTACCTTACAATTTTTATAATTCTTATAATTATCTTTATTTGTTGTATAATTGTTATATAATAGGTTAAAACTCATCGAATTGACTCTTCGATATCATGATGCTCAAATCGTCAACGATTTTTCGATACGTAATGTTACTCATGTTATTTTTGACGAAAAAGATTTGAGTAGATATAGCGAAATAAAAGAATTTCATGAAAAGTATGTAACGATTTTATTGATAAATTTATTTCTGCGATTTATTTTAAATATTTATATTCTGTAGGCGTAATATGTCACCGTATTATGTTCGCTCTTCATGGGTCATAGACAGCGAAAATTGTGGTGTTTTACTGGAAGAGAACGGTAATTGATCATTTTTAAAATTATTATATGATAATAATATATATTAATCTAGATCCTCTTTTGTAATATAAACAGAATATATTCCAAATATTTCATAACAATAATCAATTTCATTTTACATAAAAGGAAATTTTTAATTTGTTCATTTGTTTGAATCGTTGCATTAATAAATTGGTTTTTTTTTTTGATATATTATCTTACTAATAATAAATATTTGCTATTATCATGACGGTGGTTAGCATCAGTATTAAATCAACCAATAGTAATTTATGTTTTTTATTATCTCATGTGACTAGAGATTTACCCCAGTACCAACACTTTTTTCACTCTCACGCAGTGTTGTACACCGGTGATTTTTGGCAGACATAGGACGTTTGAAAGTCCATGTCCAGGACTGTGTCTGCAAGATAGTTGAGACATGGACCGATGTTAGATATCTTTTGGCCAGAATTAACAAGAGATATAGTCAGCATTAATGCGAACAAAAAGTCCCGGATATAAAAAAATCTCAGGCATGGACACGAACAGTCCGGTTCGGTTCATGTTCATGTTCGTGTCTGTGTCCCATGGCAACACTGCTCTCACGTGAGTCGATAATCTTTAAAAATAAAGAATAAAACTTTGGACGCAAATGTTATATATTTTTAAACTTATGTATTATGTGTATTTTTGTTTATTCTACAAGTTTACTTATAGACATGGATTTTGATTTTTAATATGAACATTTCAAAATAATTAATTTTACAAAAATCAGCATTTAAAAGCTATTTTTATTTTTTAAGTAAACTTGTAGAGCAGATAAAATTAGAAATAAAGCATGAGTTTTAAAATATTTTTTTTCCAGTAAATTTTGATTCACATTTTTGGAAATAATCTGCAATTTCAGTCACGTAAGGTGAAAATAGTGTTAGTGTTTCATTAAGAGGAAATGAAACAAATATTTTTAGTAGTAAAAAAAATTCTCTATCTGTAAAATACATAATAAAATAAAAATCAGGAAAGTATGACACAGGATGACAAATAATACATGTAATATAAACATATAAAGCATATGGAAACGTTTCCAGTAAAATCAAGTTATGAGATATAGTAAATCATATGATCCATACCTTGATTTTGCTAGAAACACACCTATATGATACCGATGATAAACATCAGTGGTGATATATAGTAAATTTCTTTAAAAAATTATTATAATTAAGAGTTCTTTCTTGTTAAATTAAGAGTTCCAGTTTATATTAAGTTTCGAACTAAGTGTTCAAACTAAATTCTTAATCCGTCAAATATCTATCCTATTAATGATCTCTTAAGACTTTTTTGCATATTACTTTAACTTCAAATTCATAATCCGCTACTTTCTGTAAGTCTTTTTTATATAATCCATCCTTTTTTTAATCTTGCATGATAATATTCTAATACATATCCAGTTCTCAATTGCAGTTTCACAGTATAATCCATAAGTATGTATATGTTGTTCATGACAGATGATACTCTAAACCAATTTCTATGAAAGGTAAATCATTATATTCATATTATAAATTGTTTTCAGAATACTTTCATTACAACTTTTTCAAATTTATATGTAAATTTTTAAAATTAGTAAAATTGTTAAAATAATAATCTATTAATAAATTTTAATATTTACATTTAGAAATATATATTAATAATATAATATAATTAATAATATTTACTAAGATAAACAGTTTTTTTGATAAAAAAATAGCTTGTTTGATCTTAAAGTTTATATATATAATATTTAAGAAAGCATTTGAATTAAATCTATAAAATTAAAATCTGGATTTAATTGATATATAATGCTAAAAAAAATGTATAACAAACTCAGATGTATAATACTTGTATTTGTGAATAATATTCACATTAAATCTTAACTAAATACTAATAATTTATAAAGAGAAGTAAAAATATCAAATATTTGATTTGCTAAAATTTTATCATAATAAATAAAGTTAGAATATTTTAAGAAAGAATTTTTATATATATATATCATAACTAAATAATAATTATAATGTATAATAAAAAATATAATTGTAGAATGATAAAGAAGCTTATGTTTAATAAAATTACAACTTTAGATTCTCTATAAAATGATTCTGATAAAATTGTAGCAATTTAAAATCAAGTCATTGACCACTTTACACAATGATTTATATAATAAAAAATTTATTATTTATTAGTTAATTTTCATTTTTGTAATATCAATAGAAAATAAAATTTTTTTTTAAAACAAAAATTTAACATTACAAAATTTTAGTATAAAAAACCATTACAAAGTTTTAAAATAAAAAGTATTACAAAAATCTTATATGAAAAATCATTATATAATTGTAAAAAATGTTAAAAGATATTATTATGTGTTTATATTAATTGCTATATATTGTGAATGAATAAATATTATATGATATATATAGTACAAATGATCAACCAATTTGAAATATTTAGTACCCTGATAAATCTGGATTAATCTAGGTAATTTGACCTAACTCACATTTTTAGGTCAGGTTAATGTTAACATTTTTTGATAACTCGTGATTCGCATGACCTGATTGATAAGTCAGATCATATATTTCCTTGACTTAGGCTTTGACCTGAATTAATTCGAAAGATCATTAATTGATTTGATTATCTAAATTTTTTTTCGTCTGATATTCAATCAACTTTTTTGCAATGTTTATTAATTTAACTGAACCAATAACTTCACTAACTTAATGTCTTAGAAAAAAAAAGGCATTGCGTAGTAATCTTTTTACTAAAGATTTCTTTGAAGAAAGAAATCTTCTACCAGATCATAAAAATATCAAAACTCATAAGAAAGTTCAGTATTTTAATTGTCTGTAAGTAAATAAATTTCTATAATAATACTACCAATCCATTATGCATAAATATCAATTATTGACTATATTTCTTTTAAAATTATAGAAATCAAAAACCTGAAACCATAAAATTGGTGATTCTAATACAACTAATCTTTGGCGTCATGTAGAAGTTCATCTTTCAGAAAAAGATTCAAGACCTAATAAAAGAGCAAAAAAAAATTCAGAAGAAGTACATTAGATAGATTTGTAAGCCAAACAGAGATTCTACCTGTAATAAATATAATTAATTATTATAATTTATAAATTATAAATATATTTTTACATTATTATTTATTATTGTTTATACAATTATTCTTAAGTTTACACAAACAGAATTTCATATAATAAACATTTTTTAAATATAGTAAAGGTCTTGAATTCAGATGTACTAGTTCCTAAAGCAGATACAATTAAAAAGGATATAATAAAAAATTTTGAAAAAAAGCGAAAAAAGAGAGAAATTTTATTTCAGGTAAATGTTTGTATATGTAAAAATAATTATAAATTCTTCACAAACTTATATTTATAAATATTGATAGAATATTTTCATTTACTTTAGATACATGGACATCAATAAATGGTTATAGATTTTTAGCTATTACTAGAGTTCTTCAAAATTGAATTGAATCAAATATTTAAGCAATTTGAATTTGATTTGATTTTTCAAATTGAATTGAATTGAATCGAATTGAACTCAAATATTTGATCGAATCAAATCAAATCAAATCAAATCAAATATTTGACGAATCAAATCAAATCAAATCAAATATTTGACGAATCAAATATAATATTTGATGAATCGAATCAAATCAAATCAATCAAACTGAATCAAATGAATTAAATATATATATATATATTTTTAAGACGTGGTGAAGCATTTAAATATAAATTAAAGAAAATCACAA